GAACACAAATTTAGTTGATTGTCACATTGAGACTGCACTTGAAGCATCACAGGGTCGGTTATGAATGAGAAAATTGTACAACTTCCTCTCTTTCTCACAAACACCTGAATGCACTTAGGATGCCCGGCAGGTCACCGTAATAAAAGGCTGTTTTTCCTTGCTCTTGAAAGGCTCCTATTTAAGAGATGCAAGGTTTTTATCTGGGCACTTTTGTATGCTCACATTGCGTAATCTGTATTATAACTACCAGAGTACTGCGTCCTCACATACGGGTCATGGTACTGGAGGGCCTTTCAGTCAGGGGCTATAAATGTAGGGGAAAAGTGCAGATCAATGGGGTGTATTGGTGCAGTGGCTTTATGTGCCAAAGTGTTTTGGCTCAATAAATGACCCACATTTCTTTGATTGGCTCCAATGATATCCATGGCATTTGTGTGAGTGTCAATTGTGAAATGTGGGCTTCCTAAGCAGGTTATTTCCTGCCACAGAGAACAAAAACGAGGATTTGTATTAATGCGGTGAGACCTTTAAAACTAATGGTGCTCACACAGGTCAACAAAGCTCCTTACCTGTAGTTAATTCATCACTGTTCTGCGGGAAGTGACATTTTTCAGTGAGCTTCGGCCTTGTGGAGGCGCTTCATGGCGCTCAACTGATTTTTGGATCTTGGACTGCTGTGATACTGCGTCCCTCTCGATCCCTCTCTGTTCCAAATTCTTCCCATTCTTGGTTGGATTCTCATCTCTGCCTCCCACCATCTATTAAACTCGATAATATTGTTTCTAATTTTTATGATATTGTCACTGATTTAATTAAATTCTAGTTCAGCATTATCTAAATATCCAACCTCATATGTACAACATAGCCTTTCTCATACCAAACCTGCAGCAATTCAATTTAAATGACTAAATTTATTTGTTGTATTTTAGTTCAGGGGGCACAATGAGTCATTACATAACTTAAATTTCAGTTTTCTACGTTATTAATCTGAAGTTCCTCTATGAACTTTGGTCATGCTGAGCCTGGATGAAAAACTTTTTGAAATTGGTTTTCAGGGCAAAGTATATTTATCTTCCTTAGACAAATGGCTTCCAGATTGCGGCCCAGGGACCGTCTGAGCTGCTTGAAGCGGCTCTTCACAAGACCTTCACAAAATGAAGAATTGTTAAATTTTTTTTCTCCACCATTCACTAAGAATAACTTTCCTGATGCAATGTGCTACTTTCGACACTGCTCTCTCTCCATCAACAGTGCAGACTGTCAGATTAGATGAAGCAGCTGAGCTATGGATACACATTTGCACTCACAGATACATGTTTGTTTCTCTAACACTTGAGAGAAACCCTCATTGACATGATGTTTTCTTTAGCCCCTTGCTCTCACCTTTCTACCTTCGCAACTGAACTAAACTAAACCCAATAAACAAAAACAAAAAACAGAAAAATACACAAATATGTATGTACATAGGCCTTTTAAGCTAATTTGATACGGTGACTTGGAGCCGATATAACCAAAGATATGCACATCTCAATGTTCAACCCAGTCTCCTCAAATTTACGTTCCTATTCAACTAAACTGCACTCTCAATTACATTTTCAAAGAACGTGTTGCTTCTGTTCAACCAACCAATCATACATTAGATGGGGCAGGACTTGTCATGCTGGTAGCCCAGAAAATAAAGGAGACACTTCAAATACGTAGCGAGAGGTTGCATTTGAACCCAAACCATGACATTTTATATTAACCCAATCAAACCTTAACCGATCTTCCAACTTGTAAAAGTGTCTAACAAAGCATGATATCTACCTCAAACTAACCACATAGTTTTGGTTCCTAAACATAACCAGAAATCAAGTGAAAACCAAAGGAAAATGACACTTATACTGATGGTTTCTCAAATTCTGGGTGTCTTGGTGGAAGTCCGGTTGCTGATTTTATTTCTTCAATGTCACAGGCCACAAATTGCATGTATTTAAAAATTAGGCGAGAGAATATAGTTCAGTTGTAGAGGAATGTTATTTTGTGGAGACAGGGTCGTGCTATTATGCATAGAAACATCAGTGAAGTTGCTGTTTATGTCCATGTCTGTCCAGTATCATATACAGATAGGTGCCAAATTAGAGGACAAACCAACATAACATGTCTGTAGAAGGTGTTGGGGCATCACATGCTTCCAAAACTAATTCAGTACTTCGTAGCATTAATTCTCAGAGTGTCTGGAATTCTACTGCACGAAAGGAGCAACAGTCTACCAAAAGATATTCCCTCATTCAGTGTTTTGATGATGGTGTTGTATCATGTTGGTCCAAAATCTTACAAACAATATCAAATGGGTTGAGATCTGTTGACTGTAAATGGGCATAGCACATGATTCACATAATTTTCACCAAACCATTTAGTGACCCTTTGTGCCCTATGAGTGACGGCATCGTCTCCCATCAGGACAGAAATGTTTCGTCACATAATAACGGTGATCACTCAGAACAATGATGTATTGGTTGCAGACTCTTCCCTCTAAAAGGACAAATTGACCCAAACCATGGCAGCAAAATGCTTTCCAACAGCATAACAGAGTCACCTGGTACCCTCACTGTAGGGTTAATGGGTTCGGCTTTTTACTTTAATATGCCACTCATGTGTCGTGAAGACTCAAAATGTTCATTGAGTTAAACAAAAAACAGTCAAATTCCTACACAAAGTTGTAACCATGACAGGACACAAAGCTTCATATTTAGATGTTGCTGCAAATAAGCTACACACACATCTTAAACCGGGCAGCACAAAACAGCTGCACAATCACCACAGTTCCAAGGTGGTCGCCCGTAATCAGTGTCACCAATTCAGTATCTGACCAAATGTGAAATATAATCACAATCCCCCATCTGTTCCTGAGTTATGACGTTGAATAATGTTGAAAAATGGTCTAAAAATAGTGTCTGCAGATCATTATGATACCACAGCGAAGCTGACTTTTGAGGTTTTGGCTATAAAATGTAGTCACATCATCAATTTATCCTATTAGACATTTGTGTGAAATTTTATCTTAATTAGAAACAGATTTTTTTTTTCAGTTATGGCCAAAAATCTGTTTTGTGAGGTTGATCTTTGACCACCAACATCTATCTTTGAGGGCAAAATTGAAATAATTCCATCCAGGCATTCAAGAGATCATGTTCATGGCGGCACGATGGACAGACAGCCTGAAAAAGCAGTGCTCCTGGCTACATCTATCGCTGGAGGCATAAAATAACAACACAGACACTGTTCTGAACTCAAACTTGTATAGCCAGATGTCTGAAGAAGTATTTCGATGGTTTTGAAAGTTTGGAAAGACTCTTAATGATCGCTGAATGAAAAGATTGGAGACTGTATAACCCATAATGTTATTCATTTTAGTGTTGTTTTTTTTTTAATGTCCTTTTTATTGTGTTTCTTTACACCTCACCGCACTATGAACATAAACCCGTAAAGGCTTGCTTAATATAAGCTATCACAGAGGAGCTGTTGACCTTATTTTTCTGGCACAGTTATGTTTCAACCTGTTTTATTCTGTAGCTGTGAGCAGGGACTGTTTTGGAAAATTGCCTGAATAGTGTCACCCCGGTTCAAGACAAACCGACATCCAGGGTTGAACAGTTTTAACAGTCATTCCCGAGGTGTGCTGTGACAAAATCAAAGCCAAGGAGACGATCAACAGGCAAACCTGGATTCTGTGAAAGTGACTATGTTCATTTAATAATTTCTCACAGGAACATGGCTGCTCTTTCGCTGCCAACTTTAGAGTTGGATGTGGGAGCGTCTTTGAAAGCACCGCGGGGACACTTTGATAAAACAGTGCTCACAATGTCATTACCACACAACAGTTATGTAATTTTGGCACTGAAATCCGGCAGCAAAACGATGTACTACATATTTCTAGTGATTTATTTTTTTTAGGTTGCTGTGTGGTGATTTTCACAGCATCTTGAAATAAACGGAAGGTGCAGCTAAACGCAGTGAACAAAAGACCTGTTCACCGCTCTGCAGAGAACCACACGCACTGTTGCTGCCTCGCATCTTACTTTCTTTTCAATCTTTTCATGCTAAAAAGGTCTAATACACATTTCAGCAGTGAGTAGGAGCAGAAATGCTCCAAAGCGCTAACCATCTTGTGCAAATTATGATAATTATGGGTTGGTTTATGATCTAATCAAGGCCATAAAGTGTCAGCATTAGCAGTATACAAACAGCGAGATACAGAGGCAGTTGAGTGCAAACAGCTGCGGAAGGGAAATTAAAAGACATTAAACCAAAACATACTTGAGTTTTTCTAAAAAGTCACAGTGGGCCAACTACTTAAAGATGCCATTTTCCAAAAGCCAAAGAGCTTTGTTTTGGAAAGTGGGATACCCTACATTTGGAAAGGCTAGAATAGGAAATGGTTAAAATAACATTTCATTTGCCAGGGCTAGAAAATATTAATTTGTAACTTTAAAAGAAGGGCAAAATTGGTAGCGCTTTTATTGTTTTTCCCCAGACTAAAAATCTACATACATGGCACACCCCTAAGACAATTTCGGCATAAAAAATATATAGTTAAGTTGATGTTTTCTTAATGAACTCTGATTGGAAGGATTTCAAAGGTTGAGGGTTCCACAAACAGAAATGAAACAACAAAGAAACAAAATGAGGACAAACAGCTGCTCAAAGTCAGACAAATAAAGCCAAGAAGTAGAAACAGAACAGGAATAATTTCCGGCGCTATTCCAATGCCAAAAATTACAGTCCATTTGTTTTAAAGCCTATTTTTAGATGGAGCTTTGGTTTGCAATCTCTAGTTTCAGCCTTGATGAATCACTCTTCTAAACGCCCTCCAGACTTTCACAACATGTAGAGGTTGTGTTCAATATTAATCAAAAGATGCCTATTATCATTAATTTTGTGCACGTGTGTGTGTGTGTGTGTGTGTTGTGTGTGCGTGTGTGTGTATTGTGTGTGTGCCTCGGCCGACATTTTCGCAGGAAAAATGGGGAAACAGAACAGCAAGCTGACCCCCGAAGTGATGGAGGATCTGGTGAAGAACACAGAGTTTAATGAACACGAGCTGAAGCAGTGGTACAAGGGATTCCTGAAGGACTGTCCCAGCGGCCGACTCAACTTGGAGGAGTTCCAGCAGCTCTATGTCAAGGTGAGGCTCCACTGACTTGCTTTCACTTGATGGATTACACACATATTGTATGCTACAACACAACACTGACAGTCTAGTATGTACTCGCCACACACGCTGCACTAACTCAGCACGCAGAGCCGACAGGACTCAGAGTGGAACTGACAAAGCAGTAGATGTATGGCCGCTAACACTGGCGCTGGATAGATTAAAGCAGAGTCAGGATGGTACAGTGGGAGCAGAACAAAGCCGACCGGGAGTTTGTTCGAAGAGAGAAAAGTTCACCAGAAGAGAGCAACGACGCCCAGACACAGGAAAGATGAACTTCACACAACACTGCAGAACTCATCATAGCTGTAGTTATGGTGGTGGTTGATTTGATAGCCTATGAAAAGCCAAAAATGTTGTATCATATTCATGACATGTAAATGTCTAATCAAGAAATTATACAAAATTTACCAAATAATGCAAATGTATTATGTAGCTTTACTACAACACTGTGTATTTTTTTGGGGATTGCTAGTTACTGCCTTTGGCACTAAAGATAGGTACAATAGCCTAAAGCAGCGTCAATTGATTTTTCAGGCTACTCTGGTGCAGTGGAACGAGCTGTAGGCACCACACTGACATCAGCACACAGAAACACATAAAGATGATCCATCCATCAGTGACACTCGCTTTGTCCTGTAGAGGGTCACAAGGGGCTGGAGCTTATCACATGTAATTGCGGGGAGAGATGGGGTGCACCCTGGACAGGCTGCCAGTTCATGGCAGGGCTAACATAAAAAGACATACAACAATGCACGCTCACACTTTCAACTACGGCCACTTTAGAATCACCAGTTAACCTATCAACCATGTCTCTGGACTGTGAAAGGAAGCTGACGAGCCTGGAGAAAACCTTCAATTCAGTTTTATTTTATCAGTGCCAATTGACAGCATATGTCCTCTTAAGGCACTTCAAATAGTGAGGTGGGGACTTTATAGAAATTACACAGAGAAACCCAACAAATCCACCTTCTTGTGGACCCCCTTTATGCAAGTACTTAACAGTAATACTGACATTAACAGTGGGAAGAAAAAAATTCCCCTTTAACTGTATAGAAAAGTAAACCGACAGCAGAATCAGGCTCAGGGAGGGCAGCCATCTGCCTCGACCAGTTGGGGTGAAGGTAAAGAGAAGACAGAACAGATAAACACCACATAAGAGAACATAAGTAATTTGGAGGTCAGTAGCTGCAGATCACAGACATGTAGCTCCACATCCAGAGACACCTGCAGAGACAACAAAACACAAACTACAGGAGAGAGAAGACACTAAGTCAGTGACATGCAATGGTGGTATATAGTGTAATTGTATGGGGAGAGAAGATAGAGAGTAGAACAGAGAGTAGTGCATCATGGGTATCCCCCAGCAGTCTACCCTGTAGCAGCAAAACTAAAGAACAATCCTGGTGACCCTAAGCAGCCCCAGCTGTAGGTTTATCAAAGAGCAAAGTTTTAAGCCTAATCCTAAAAGTAGAAAAGGTGTCTCCCTCCAGAACCCAAACTAGGAGCTGATTCCACAACGCAGGAGCCTGATCACTGAAGGCTCTCGTTCTATGTCGGGTAACTGTAGGAACCACAAGTAAACCTGACAGTCGGAGAACAATGTGTTCTTTGGGAGTATGATACAAATCCCTAATGGAAAGGCCCTAGCTAACTCAAACCTAGTGTCTTCCTGCTGTGAGGTAACAGTGCTAACCACTGCGTAAATCCCACATTTAGTCTACTTTTTTCAAATATCTCTTTAGTTGCTAGACAGACTCTGTCCCACCAACTCTCCCTAAACAGGAAGTGTGTGTGTTAGACTGGTAAACTTGACCCAAAGCAGTACATTTACAGGCTGTAAAACCAAAACAGTAACCTGAGAGAAGCTGAGATGCTCAGTACAGCTAAGGGAAACTACAAATCATTCTCCACAGGTTTGTTACTACAGGTGACCCCTCACACATTACACATAGCTATGCCATCTGCTGTTAATACAAAATATTATATATTACATAATATTCATTAGTGAATGTTAAATTCAGGTTAGGCTGTCATGTTTATGCTTATCGTAGGATTTTGTTCAGAGTGTAGACGAAAGTTTTCTCTGGTCGGTGATTTAACCTTTCAAAGCTCTTCTCTATGTATCATAGTTGTGTATTTAAATTACATGAAAATAATCTCTTCTTGCCTGAAAATGGCTCAGATGTAACTACACTGTTGCCTCCTTTAGAATATGTGGACATATGAAGTTTCTTTAGCCATCCACCCCTCTGCCATTTGCTGCACCCTGAGCACGCCAGCTCACCTGTAACTCTCCAACACTGTAGAACTACTCTATGCTACACCAATAACTGCACATTTCACATGAGAACAGGCTTTATTAGTAGCAAAATGGTTGAAATAACACTTGTACTTATAGAAGTCACAGCAGAAGATGAACACAGCATCAGTAATAGTGTTCTAGGGTCTCTAGCACCAGCAACTGTGTCAGTTGTTAGCTATTTGTTCATTTTAATGAGAGCAACACACTGTATTCTTAGTGGCTTCAGTGATTAGGGTCTCACGAATACACTCTGAGTCACCACAAGAACCACTGAGGGAAATTGCATTGTAAACCCTGCTATATTTTAGCAGGCCTCCTGCCATGTTCCCTTTCACCCCTGCTGCAGAAAACCAACAGAGAGGCTGATATGAGAGGCGTACAGATGATTATCTTCTCGTGCTAATAAGTATCCCACCGTATCTCATTACCTCTGACCGAGCAGTGTGAATTTATTCCATGATTTATTCATTTGGTCTTATGGAACAGGGAGCAACACATTTACAGGAACAATGATGATCTAAGAATGAAGCAGAAATAGCGATGAAATAGCCATAAGTGGCTAAAAATGTTAACAGATATTCTCCACTACTAAGTGGCCTTTACTGCTATTACTAATAATACAGTCTGCAGCTGAGAATATAAAAAAAGAAGCGTTTTCTTCTGGCTAAAAGTGATACCACACCTGTGACCTAGAGAGCCTTAATGTAATCATTATTATCAAATTGAGTTTATATCATTAGATAAGATAATTCTTTATCGATCCCCATAGGGGAAATTAATATCATTGTAACATAATCACTTTATAGAAAAGTACATTTACAGACATGACACATCCATCACAACCAGTCTGTCTGTCTTTGTTTAGCCTATAAGGCTGTTAATCCTCTGAACTCCAAGCAGTTTCTGGGCTCTTTTACTGTCACATTTTTCCTCACTGTGGGCTTATTTTTCACTGTAATATAAAGTCTTGTACCTCTATGGAAACAACACAAGTAGAGAGAACCTGAACATGTCTTTTAAGTAGTATGACAGTTATAAGGACATAAGCAAAATAATAATAAATTTAGAAAGACAATAACAAATGCAACCAGCACTGGAAAAGAAGCAGTGGTTTCACATTCTATATATTTTACTGTTTACATTTTTGTCACTGCTACAATCAGGTGTTTTACACACTACTCTACATATCAGCTCTAGAAAGACGTTTCACCGTGCCGTATGTATCGTCCAACAACTGGTTTCTCTGTTTACCATTTTTGAGTCATGCTGGATTTGTTTTTTCAATGAAATATGATTTATTTTCTCCTCAGTCATCTCCTCTCTACTCTGAGTATACACAACCTGTAGCTACAATGAAAACCTTGTGAATTTTTTTCACATTAGTGTTGGTCACAGCTGAGCAGACCGTCACCTTCCAGTCACACAGAGGAGCGCTGATTTTTTTTGGTATTTTAAAAATTTTTTTACAGGATCTGGTGCGAGTGGGGTTTTTTGGGGCAAATTTTTGATCAAGACATGTAGAAGAAAGTGATTTCAATGAAGATATCTCAAGTTTATGCTTATTTTTTTAATTATTTCTTGACAAAACCACACACATGATGCGTTCACAGACCATTGAGAAATTGCAAATCTACTTTTACAGTTTCTTTTTCTTTTAAAGAAAACATGCCTTTCAAGTTCACTGGGTTTGAGATTCAGAAGGTAAAACAAAGATTCAAACTCATGACAACGACAATAAAAGAAATCCACCACATTAGTTCTTCATATCGTACAGTGATTAATAAAGTGTTTTATGTAGCATCTTGCTGTTACATCAGACTTGTGTCACAGCATCTTTTTTGACTCTTTTGTTGTATGTTTTAACTTCCTGGGAGTTCTCTCGGAGGAAAGCACTCTCTGACTAGTGTAAGAATAGGCATTAATCTTTTATCGGTGGTGCCAGGAAATGCTTCATAACCAGAGGGGGCTGCTGTTACATAAGACACGCCTGGGCATTGAGGTCACGGGTGCACTTCCTCTAAATGCCATCGCAGCTCATGCATCAGCAAAGACTGCGACAGAAAAAAAAAATGGGAAAAAAAAAAAATCAAAAATACACAGAGACATTCTTGAAAAACTCTGAACAAAGAACATCTGTCTGCACCAGAAGTGACATTTTTTTTCCATTTGGACCCACCGAAAGGCACCGAAATCTTTTTTTAAAACTGAACTGCAAAAATAACCTGGGCTCCTGGGAAATAAAAGGGTGTTGGCAGCTCTGATAAAAGGGATATAGGCACAAAAGATATCCCCCTACATCCTCTTTTTGTGCGACGAGGAACAGCGGCAGGAAAATCTGCAGCGGCACAAAAGGGGCAACACGGCTCACATCTAAAGGGGTCTTGTAGGCTTCGGGGTAAATCCTATTATTGGTGCATCCTATTGTGTTTCTAGGCAACAGTGTATCAGTGATAGGGCTTTATTTAAATCCAGAGGGCTGATAAGTGGAAAAATGGTCTGCCGCGACCTCACATTAACGGGACAGATTGTTCCTGTGAAGAGTGACTGTGTGTGTGTGTGTGTGTCTGATTGTGTGGTGGGGGGGTCGTATGTTCAGTAGGAGGGAGAGGGAGACGGAACAGCATGTTTTGCGTCGGCTGAAAGTGCGAAACAGAAAAGGTGGTGCAGA